TTTCCCACACATCTGGTAGGGAGGATTGGTGGGAGGTGGGGGGGAGGGAGGGACCGACCGACCATCTGGCACGGTGTGAAGAATATTTTTTTTTTTTATTAACTGAAAATATTTGTTTTAGCTCATAAAATTCATACAAATTACCCAGCCAGAATATAATTTACATTGCTGGAATTCTTACAATTTGATGATCATTTTGAATATAAACATCATATATTTTGCATTAGAGATACAAATTTTAGATATAATGTTTACTCTGAGTAAATATGTTATGTTTTGTGCAAAATATATGACATTTATATTCAAAATATTCCTGGTTTTACAAGGAATCCAGCAATGTCAATTATATTATCCTAACTTTAATCTGAGGTATTATTTAATACTAAATGTTAAAATCTAGTTTTTTCACCCAACCTTTCTCTTGAAGGGAGGGTTGGGACGGACCGACCATCTGGCGCTTGGAAGAGTGGGGGAGGCAAGGTGGGGTACATTGATTGACAGATAGTGTAGTGAAGAATATTTTTTTTTTGTTAACTGAAGATATTTGTTTTAGCTCATAAAATTCATACAAATTACCCGGCCAGAATATAATTTACATTGCTGGAATTCTTACAATTTGATGATCATTTTGAATATAAACATCATAGATTTTGCATTAGACATACAAATTTTAGATATAATGTTTACTTTGAGTAAATATGTTATCTTTTGTGCAAAATAGATGACATTTATATTCAAAATATTCCTGGTCTTATAAGGAATCCAGCAATGTCAATTATATTATCCTAACTTTAGTCTGATTTATTATTTATTACTAAAAAGGTAAACTGTCTGGTATTCCCACACATTCATCTAGTAGGGAGGGTTGGTGGGGGGGAGGGAGGGAGGGAGGGACCGGCGACCGACCACCTGGCACCACGGTGTGAAGAATATTTTTTTTTTTATTAACTGAAGATATTTGTTTTAGCTCATAAAAATTCATTCAAATTACCCGGCCAGAATATAATTTACATTGCGAATTCTTTGTTGATGATCATTTTGAATATAAACATCATAGATTTTGCATTAGACATGATTACGAAGATATGGTGTTTACTCTGAATTAAATATAATGTTTCTCTTTTGTGCAGAAATATATGACATTTATATTCAAAATATTCCTAGTCTTACAAAGAGTCCAGCAATGTCAATTATATTATGTCCTAACTTTAGTTTGAAATTGTTATTTATTACTATACTGGTTTCCCAAAATTTTACTCCAGAGAGGAAGAGCCAAGCGAGGATGCAGTGTGAGGAAAGAGGGAGTTGAGTCCATTATTTGAATGGACATTAACTTGGCGACTGTATTTCTCTATTTCTCTTAAGTATTAATTGTGTGCATGTACCAAGTCAGTGTCTGTTGTCTGTCTAATATCAGGCGTTTCATCTCCCTCGACAGTGACACACCATCCACTTGTAGAGGAGAATGGTCCACTGGGGGGTAAAAGTGACCGTCCCATCAGCTGAATGTAATAGCCTCTGTCAATTGATATATATATGGGCTAAGGACATGTATTCATTATATGCATTCTACCATTTGTTCTTTCACACCTTCTCGGGTGTACAGCCCATAAATCTACAGACTCAGCCCTTCGCGTGTGAGTAGGCCTGTTTAGATATACGTATGTCTGTGTTGAAGTATGGATTACTCTCCAACAACGAGACTCAAGAAAGGTCGGCCAATTTCCCCAGTTCACAGCCAGACATGAGACTCTAACGTCGTGTCATGAGACCAGCTCTCGGGGCTGTACCTCTCTCTAATTATATCAGCTAATTACAAGCTAATAGCTAATGCTCATTAGACTGTCAATAACAATAACTGTACAGATATGACTACGCAATATAACTAGAAATCACCACGTGTGTTTACATTAAACCAAGGAACTACAAGTGAAGAGAACAGTACCTGTGTGTCTAGTGTAACTTACAAGCTAAGATAATTACAAGTACAACCCAGGACAGCTGTGACGATTTCAACTATCAACCAATCTACAACTGTATCAAAGGTGACAAGTCGTGAGATTACCTAATATCTCACCCAGCTTCATCAAAGGTACCAGCGACTACCCTACACTCATTCAAGAAAGTGTTAACAAGTGAGATAGTTTGATATCAAACCACAGCTTAAACATGATGGGAAGGGGGGGGGGGTGAGGTGATATGTTTGACATTTGATGCCAAGGTCTAGTGCTTATTTATTTATCTGTCCTTAAGAGTGACTAAGTTTTTCTCTTATAAAATGTCACTGAACTGACATGTTCTAATTAATTATATTACAAAGGACTAAATTTTTTATCTCTTGTGCAAAATATATGACTTTTATATTCAAATTATTCACTGTCTTGCAAGGATTCTACCAATGCAAATTATATTCTCCCAACTTTCGTCTGTGACATTATATAAGATAAAAACTGTAAGCCTATAACCACCCAACCCTGGCTGGGAAGATTGGGGGGGAGGAGGGAGGTAACAGTGACATGTTTGACAGTTAGCGCCGAAGGTCTAGTGACGTACATTGGTCCCTCGGTTAACGAGCACAATCCGTTCCAGCAGGTTGCTCATTAACCAAAAAACTCGTTAACGGAAACCATTGTTTCAATGGGTTTTTGGGTAATTGGTTCCAGTTCACCGAAAATTGCCTAAATTCAACAAAAAAAGTAGAAAAGTACATATACTTTGAGGTGTGTATGTATAAGGCTACTGGATGATGATGATGATGATGGGAATTAGAATATGGGTGGAGGAGAAGGGAGAAGAGAAGGCATTGGGGTGGAAGAGAAGTCACCCCATAGCGCCATTTCACCCATAAAATTTTAGTTCTCTTGGTGTAATTCAAGATAATTTTCTTTAAATCAACACTGCACTGCATTATATATTGTCAATATGTAAAATAAATTTCAAAATGACCAATAATTTGCTTGGAAACACAGAAAAAAGCATTAAGTTGAAGAGAGTCTTAAGCAAGATGTTACCTCCACTGAAAAGATACAGAGACTGACGCCTGTTTGGCACGCATAAAACTAGTTTCCTGTACTTCAATTATGTTCAATAATTGTTAAAATGACTAAAAAAATTAATATTAAACTTTTAAAATTATTGAATAGTATAAACATCTTGATATTTACTAAAATAGTAAGGAATTGAAGCCCTAGACCCGATTATTGTATTAGCGGACTAATACTACAGCTGGTGGACCGCCAAATGCAAGCAAAAACATGTTGAGGTCCGCTCGTATGAAACTCATTAATCGAGGGATTGCTCATTAACCGAAGTTAAGAATCTTATGGAAGGTAAATCGTTAACCGAAATCTCGTTAACCGAGGGATCACTGTATGCAAATAGCGAATGTGTTAAGCTTTCATTTGGCTTTTATTTACTGGTTTGGCAATACAGTATTTTTTGTTGTAACTTATTTATTGGTATTAATTTTATTTATTCCTCACATTTACTGGTACTGTATACTGTATATTATTTTAAGATAACTATGGCTACAGGAGTAAAATACACACAAAAGTTTTTTCCTAAATATTCCCTGCAAAAATGGGGGATGCGTCTTATATGCTGTAAGATACGTGTAGGCCATAGTAAACACCATCGTAATGAACGTGTGTGTGTGTCTGGACTTGACAGGTCACCAATCACTGTAGCTGCATCACCTTACCTCGCCCTACGTTTGAGTTGCATTGTTGATACTTTTCAACTATTAATTTCAAGTAGATGTATGTATTTTTATTCAATTTATTTTGCTCTGTTACATGCACAGACAATTGACTGGAGGACACGGGAGGGTGGTGGTGGTGGCTGGTGGTCACGGGAGTGTGGTGGTGGTGGCTGGTGGAGGTCACGGGAGGGTGGTGGTGGTGACTGGAGGTCACAGGAGTGTGGTGGTGGTGGCTGGTGGTCACAGGCTGGTGGTGCTGGTGGTGGCGGAGTGTGGTGGTGGTGGTGGCTGGTGAGTCACGGAGGTGTGGTGGTGGTGGTGGCAGCTGGGTGGGGAGTGTGGTGGTGGTGGTGGCGGCTGGTGGTCAGGGTGTGGTGGTGGCTGGTGGTCACGGGAGTGTGGTGGTGGCAGCTGGTGGTCACGGGAGTGTGGTGGCTGGTGGCCACTGGATTGTGTGGTGGTGTGGCTGGTGGTTACGGAGTGTGGTGGTAGTGGTGTCTGGTCGTCACAGGAGTGTGGTGGTGGCGGCTGGTGGTCACGGGAGTGTGGTGGTGGCAGCTGGTGGTTACGGGAGTGTGGTGGTGGTGGTGGGTAGTGTGAGGTAGTGGTGGCTGGTGGTCACGGGAGTGACATAAACATAATGAAACATATCTTATGACTGCTGGATACGTCCGGATTGCTTAAGCTGTGGGTGGTGGAGATCTCAGCCGCTCCTATTTCCTGCGCCTAGTGAAGCTATTGCCAACTGGCAATGCAGTAGTTTTTCTTTTATTTTATTAAATATTATTGTCATTTTTATTTATTCCTCATATTTATTGGTACTACAGTATACATATGACTCTGGTCCCTAATAGCCTTGGATAATGAGGAGTATACTGTACAGTATATTGAAAAATATATAGTGAAAGTTACCAGCAGGTATTGCATCCCCCCCTTAATTACATTAATTCTTATGGGGAAAATTGACCTGATATTTGCAGTTTCATTAATTGCAATGACTTTCAGGAATGTATACCTTGTGTTGGATAAGGTGCTGCTCTATAGGAATTTTATTAATCACATGAAAATTTTGCCCCTACTGCTGAACTGTTATACATTGGTGGTTCCTGTCTTGGGATACCGTATTCATTGTGCAATATCTTACAGGTCTTTCATTTTGACCTACAGAATTTCCTGCATTAATGTATAATTTTTATGCCTTGAACAGTATGTTTCACCATTTTATTTGTAGTGTGATCACCTTTACATTCAGAGGTTAAAGACCAATCATATTTTATTTATTTATTTTTTTTTTTTTCAGAGGGAGAGTAACAAGGATCCCCTTCACTGCTTCTTAATGCTTGGCACCGGCTTACATGTATTAAGTCTCCTGGGAACAAGTCTAGTGGAGGAAGAGCACCAGACTGTTTACTTTTTGTTAAATAGTCTTCATGTAGGATTGATACTGAAGATCATGATTGAGAATATTAGAGAATCATTTGACTCTAGAATAAAAACAAATACAAGTACACACAATAAAGGTGATGGTGGTAGTGTTGGGAGAGGCACAAATGATGGCTCCTCAGAATTACCAACAAGAATCACAAAAGTTAAGGAAAATGTTTCCATGTTGCAAAAACTCTGCAGACCTTCTAACAAATTAATGCTGCTACTGATGGTCAGCTTGGTACTCAGCAGACTTATGAGATCATGGAATTCTACAGGTGATAAATGGAAACACCTGGAGGACTTGGGTGATGGAATACGAGCCATGGGAGGTTCTGTTCTTGTGTCTGTTGTTCTCTCTGGTCTGGCAATCTCATTCCTGCTGTTGTCACGTAATTGCTTTGGTTTAGTTTTACTTATCTGTGGGTGTATATTTGGACGACATTTTCCTTACTGGGGGAATGACATCAGCAGTGGAGCTCTTGAGGCACAAATTGCACATTTAGCAATAATTGTTTTGTTTGTGTATGGACTTTTCAAATCTAAATTGATTGACTTTAAAGCCCACACTGCAAAGTCTCGGAAAGTTTTGGAGGTGTATGAACCTGAAGAGGACAAAATTAGTGTTTTACTAAGATACAGCTACACCTCGCTGAGTCTACTCTGTCTTCTCCTTCAACGAGTGGACAATGTAGGTCTAATGTCTCTCATGCTGCTGCAGAACTGGTTGTTTTGCTCCGTTGTCTACAGACTCATATTTATTAAATGTATTTCATGGAATATGGCAGCATTAGCAGTGGACTGGCTTGCCTCTGCTCATTTCTTCTATCAGGTGAGATGAGTTTCACAAGTTTATCTCTGCAATATTAATGTCATACCTTAGAAATATAAATTTGTTCTTTATTATCTGTATTTTTGTCAGTAAAGGGGATCATTGCATTATACTGTACTACTACAGGAGGTTTATTATAAAACTTTTTCAGGGCAACAGCAACAGTCTGACAACTGTAGACATGAGTGCAGGCTTTGTAGGAGTTACCTCATACCGTCCACTCATCCATGGGGTTCTCATAGCAGTTCAGACCTTTGGTGGAAGCTTCCTCACCTATCTTGCCTACTTGATGCACATTACCTCAAAAGATGAACAAAGGGGGAGGTAAGAAAAGGGACACCATTATCTCAATAATAACAATTTTCTATTTTACATACCATACACTCTTTCCAATAATTTTGTTATGACAGATTTCATGGCTGTGGGGATTAAAATGAAAGTTATGAAACAGTAATAGAGAGAAGAGGAAGGATCATATTTTTAGAATAGGTTGGATATTGATTAATATCCAAGATGAAGGAAGATTATCAGAGGACATAGAGAAATTACCAAATGTGGGTCGAGCAGCATGAACTTACAGGGAAGTACCCTGGACTGGTAAAAGGCTTTACAATGACTGAAAGTCAGGAAATACCTTAGGATTATGTATTGAAACATGATGTAAGGTATTGTTGAGTTTTAAAGGGGTCTGACAAAGTGCCCCCTCTGAGTTCCATCTCATCCATTTAATGTTGGTACAGTTGCAGAAATGTGTTCCTACTCCCCCTGTGATAACCCGTGCCTCCAAACGGCCAACCTATATGACCTATAGCAAACCAATCACATCTGTTGTACACAACCAATTCCCATTCATTCAAAAATAGTGATACTACTACTGCGATGGTGCAGTTTAGAAACACGTGTTACAACGAGGAGTAGGATCACATTTCCGCAACTGTACCCTTAACTCAACATCAGGAATCTTACACTTAATTACCTTGGACTCAGGATTACCTCCTGGCCTCTCACAAAATTTTAGTATATATAAAAAACCTCATAACACTAATATTCAGCCCCGAAAGATGAAACTCATTAAGATAATATTTTCAGCTATGTCATCTTGCAGGATATCTCAGCTCATCTCATTCGTAGCATACATTATCCTTTCGAAACGTTCCAAATATCAAGGGATACCTAAAATCCATTATAATTAATTCATCTATCACCTGCTGTAAGATCTCTTATCTCCAGTACTGTAATAAAACTTAACCTAACCTGGTTAAATACTGGAAGATTGCTTGAATGTGGCCCCTATACCTTTGATAGGCCTTCACAGCAGTGCAGCTAAGCCTCCATCACACTTGACCACCCTCACTCTCCGAGCTAAATTGGGTACCCATTCCAGCTGATTTGAGTAGGATATTCCTTTGTGTGAACCATCAACTCTTAGGACAGGAGCCAAGCACTTCTTCTCTCAACCACCACACTTCCACCCCCAATCTCAAACAGTAAATCTGAAAACCCCATTGTTTAGTAAATGACAGACCTAAGTGTTGAAAGTTGATCTAAAAAAAAATGATAGAAAATATCTCAAGTCCCCTCAGGAACTCATTAGTCAATCTTATCTATCATATCACATGAATATCAAAGCTCCTCTGGGGTAATTTCACTGGATCCTTGTAAATTTATAGTTACAATCGATCTTCAGGGCAAGAAACAGCCATATCTAACGTAGGAGCCTCCATCCACTGTGAACAAAACAAACTTAAATTCTGCAGCTGTAAACTGTCACTGATCAAGACATTTGATGCACTGAACACCCCTCCCCCCCACCACCCCACTCCACTCCTAACAACATACTGTACTGGGTTGTTGCAACCAAATTTAAACATAATCCATTTGTCAAACTAATCCCCTGAATTCACACCAAAAAATTCAAATTGTCTGAAATTTCACATACACACTACACTACACTACACAGGGATTGGACTGGAACTCGGCATCCACTCTTTGTATATGTAGATGGAAGAGGATTATGTACAGTAGGTTAAGCCATATACAATATAGAGATTTCAGATCATTCAACTTAGTCTGACCAAAGGTTGAAAAATCAGGAGTTTGTTTGAAATTATTAGACTCAAAATTATGTTATAAATACAGTCATGCGCCAGTTAACGTCCTAGATACGTTCTTGGAAACGTGACATTAACCGAAATGGACGTTGTCCGATCATCACATAAACTTTGTATTTATACTTACGTGTATGTGGAATACTATATACGTACATATACACTTTTACTCTTAAATCACTACTGTAATGTAATACAGGTGATTAATTTTTATCTCTTATGCAAAATACATGACGTTTATATTAAAATTATTCACTGTTTTACAAGGATTCCAGCAACGCCGGGCAGATGGGGGAGAGGGAGGGAGGGAGCGAGCGAGCGAGGGGGCGTGGGGGGAGGTAGTACGTTTGACAGTTGGCACAGGCCCAGGTCTAATGCGTGTATATTTATCAGTTCTTAAGTGACTAAGCTTCTCTCTTATAAAAAGCCAGTGAAATGACCTGGGTGAATATAATTAACATTGCTGGGATTCTTGTAACATACTGATTAATTTGAATATAAACATGCTGTAATTTGCACTAGACAAAACAATTTTAGTATCGTAATCAAATTAGTACATGTGCACTCCAGCTTTGCACTGAGGTCATTTATTTCTGTTACGTTTCTTTTAGTATGGTGTGTGCATGTAAATGGATGAAAATAAATGAAGAAATTGATGTAAATCTACCCAAAAATACAGTTGAAAACTTTTATAAAATGTACTACAGTACTGTACACTAATGTTCCAAAAATTTTATCTCTTGAGCAAAATATATGACGTTTATATTCAAATTATTGGCTGTCTTGCAAGGATTCCAGCAATGCAAATTATTATCTCCTAACTTTAGTCTGAGATATTATATAAGATAAAAACTGTAAGCCTAAATCCCTGGTTGGGGGAGAGGGACGGAGCCAGCCAGCCAGCGAGGGGTGGGGGGGGTTGAGGTGATATGTTTGACAGTTTGAGCCGAAGGTCTCTGTGTGTTTATTTAACAGTCCTACTAAGCTTCTCTCATTTTAAAATGCCAGTGAAATGACCTAGGAGAATATAATTAACATTGCTGGGATTCTTGTATGATACTGATTTATTTGAATATAAACATGCTGTAATTCACACTAGACATAACAATTTTAGTACCGTAATCAGATTAGTACATGTGCACTCCAGCTTTGCACTAAGGTCATTTATTTCTTTTAGTATGGTGTGTGCATGTAAATGGATGAAAATAAATGAAGAAATTTATATAAATCTAGCCCAAAAATACAGTTGAAAAACTTTTTATAAAATGTACTACAGTATTGTACACTAATGTACTACATTTTTTATATCTTGAGCAAAATATATGACGCTCATATTTAAATTAATCTCTGTCTTGCAATGCAAATTATATTATCCTAACTTTAGTCTGAGATATTATATAAAATAAACATAAAGAAATCGCCAATCTTTTGTCTGGGAACACAAGGAAGGGAGCGTGGGAAGAGGGGGGGGGGTGTGTGTGAGGTGACAGAGTGTCTGGTGTTTGTTTATTTATTTGAGATAAGATTTGACAGTTGGCGCTGAAGGCCTGCATGTTTATTTATCATTCCTTAAGAGTGACTAAGCTCTTCTCATAATTTGCCACCCAAACGACCTGGGTGAATATCACTTACATTGGAGGGATTCTTGTAAGATAGTAATTTATTTGAATACCTGTATGAACAATCTATATTTGCAATAGACATAACAATTTTAGTTCATGTACAGTACAATACAGGTTTGCACTAAGGTCCATTGTTAACCGATGGACCACTGTAAGCTTTTTATTTCGTAAGTAAGGAAATCAAATTAAAAGTAATGTACTGTACACTACAATAGACAAAAAATAGAAACAGTAACATAGGCATTTCTTATATCTATCAAAACATATTATGGATATATAGTTACTGTACTGTATCATTATATGCCTGGCAGCACAATCTATAAGAATACGCGATGCATACGTGACGCAAACGTGACTTTGCCCGCTCTAGGGCCATTTAGGTTCGCTACGTCCCATTATTTGAATGTTTTTTTTTTCCAATTTCAATTTCAATTGTTTATTCCTTGATAGAGGAAGCGGGATCCTAGGGCTGTCACTTGGTACCCCTGTACCATAACACCAGAAGCAACTAGCCACTGTCACAAGTATATACAGTACAGTCATCCCTTAGTTATCGCGCCTAATTGGGACCCTGCCGAGTGCGTGATAATGAAAAATGCGATAACGAAATTACAGAACCTATGGGATTTATTCTAATTGGTTCCAGGCACCCAAGACCCAACCCCAAGTTTCCCATTTTACAACCATTTAGACCGACTAAATATATATGCCATATATACTCGTCTATAACCCCCCTCGTTTATAGGTCGACCCTGGTTTTTTGACCAAGAAATCATTAATTTATGATATTCCTCGTTTATAGTTCGACCCACGTTTTTGAGAGTAATGGAACAACAAAACCTTCAGTAAAAACGCTCTACGTCCTATAAACTGAGGCTAGCCATGCATGAAACACGAGTGCCGAAGGCAAATTGTTTACCATTTATTATTACGACACTTTACACTGAAACGCGGGTAGTTTCAACAAAAATATTGTATATTTCCATTTAAATATTTATTCAAGTCAATTACGAGGGAATATTATTGTAATACAACAAATTTTTAACTAAACCATTCGAAAGCGATTACGGTAACATCTTTTGAACGAAAGAAAGCGAAAGTCATTGTTTTCGTCACGATTTTATCCCACTTTCCACTGTAATACGTACGTAATTTCAGCAAAAATATTACATTTCCATGAATGTATTATATCAAGCACAGTATGAATAGAATATCATTGTAATATAACAGAATTTTAACCGAAAACTATTAAAAAAACGAGTAACATCTCAAGAACATCGGAAGCTTAGGTAAAGTCTTTTGTTTTCGTCATGTATTCTATCCTATTTTACATTGAAATACATCACGTTTCAGCAAAACTACTATTTATTTCCGAGAATATATTCATTCAGGCGCAGTTTAGGTAAAATATACGTGTGATGTAATAGTTTATTTACTGAAAACGATTCAAAAAACACGTACCCTCTAGCCCTGTTCAAGGAGAGGACTGGGAGAAGCTGTTTGTTGCTTCAGACGATGACAAGGAAAATGATTTTGATGGATTTTAATGAAAATATTCAGAAATATGGTATCGTAGTATTTATTCAAGTCAATT